TTCTGTCACCAAGTCCATGTTTTCCAACTACTGATACAACTACAGAGAACTTTCATATGTGCAGGCTGGGTTTAGAAGAGACTGTGGTACTAGGGATATTAAAACTATTGTTTAGAAGGATCTTGGCTGAAAGCAGAGTACAAGAGGAATGTCTGTGTTTCACTGACTCTGCAAAGGCATTTGACTGTGTGGATCACAATAAACTGTGGCTAACTCCGAGAAGAATGGAAATCCCAAAACATTTGATTGTGCTTGTGTGAAACCTATACTTGGACCAGGAAGCAGCAGTCAGAACACTGCATGGTTGAAAATCAGGAAGGGTGTACACCAGGGATGTGTCCTACCACCATACCTTTTCAATCTATATGCAGAACAGATCATCCGGGAGACTGGGCTCTATGAGGAACAGTGTGACATCAGGATTTGAGGAAGACTCATCAACAACTTGCATTATGCCGATGGCACAACCCTGCTTGTTGAAACTAAGGAGGGCCTGAAGCTTTTGATGCAGAAGGTCAAGGACTGCAGCTTTCAATAAGGACTGAATGAAGCTCAACATCAAGAAAACAAAGATTCTCACCATGGGGCCTGATAGACACTGAAGAAATTGAGACTTAACACCTTTAGTTTGCTTGGCTCCACAATCAACCTCTTGGTTCCAGTAGCCAGGAAATCAAATAGACAAATTGCATTGAGAAAGTCTGCTGCCAGGGACCTCTCCTGAGTACTGAAGAGCAAAGATGTAGTCTGGAGACTAAGGTAGTCCTAATCTAGGCCATGGTCTTTGCAATTACTTGCTATGCATTAGAGACTAGGCATGAGAGAAAGAGAATTGATGCCTTTGAGCTGTGGTGCTGGAAAAGAGTATTGAATATACATACCATGGACTGCCAGGAGAACAAACAGGTTCATCCTAGAGAGGGTGAAACCAGACTGTTCTTTGGAGGCAAGGATTCTGAGGCTTCATCTGACATACTTTGAACATGTTACAAAGAGAGACCAGTACTTAGAGAGAGACCAGAAGGGTGGAGGGACAGTGCAGGAGAGGAAGACCCTTGATGAGATGCATTGATTCAGTGTCTGTGGTAATATGGGTAGGTTTGTCAAAGACAATAAGGTTGGCACAGGATAGAGCAGGTTTCAGGTTTACTATACATAGGGTCGCTATGGGTCCCAAGAGACTCGATGGCACATAACAGTAAGAACTTTATCCTTTGATATATGGATTAATTATAAGTATGCTAATTTTAAGATATTTGTAGATTTTCCAGAGATGTCCTGTTACTAAAGTCTAATTTAATTTCACTGTATTTAGAGAGCATATCTTGCATGACTTGAAATATTTTCAGTGTTAAGATTTTATAGTTTAGAATATGGTCTCTATTTATAAGTATTCTGTGTGCATTTAGAAGAATTTGTTCTGGTGTTGGAAGTGCTTTATAAAAATCAATTAGATATTTGGTTGATTATATTGTCTTCTATATTCTTACTGATTTTTCTGTTTGAGGGGTTTTTTAAATAATAAATTTAAAAAAAATGTTATTTTAACCAAAGTTCACAGAAAAGTTGTATTTATTGTTGTACATTTTCATCCCTCTCCTACTCATCTCCCTCTAGTTCGTTTGGTGTGTTGTTTTTTTTTAAAAAATTCATTCATTGTTGCACTATTTTCTTCCCTCCCTCCCCCAGTCCACTATGCAATGCACCTCTTATTCTGGACTACTGTCATACATACAATGCCTAATCATATATTCCTTTGAAACAGTTCTTTCCTTCATCTGTTCCAATGTAGTCATCATTATCTGTCCACTCTTACTGTTTGTTTGAGGTTTTTAAAAAGAAATTATTAAGAGGGTTTTGAAATCTCTGACTTAAAGTTTTAGATTTTTAAATCTCATTGTGGTACTTACTTGAAAATAATGTGTTCCTTTGTGGAAAGATCTGCTACATGAAATTGTGTTTATAGCCATGCTTAATGGTAAGGAACCATTATTACTGGTGCAAGGCCCTTTTGTGTCTACTACCCAGTATTGCACAAATTGTGGTTTCCAGTCTGGAAAGTTAGTTAACCTCTCTCTCTCTAGTTAGTGTTTATAACCTTCTGTGAACACTAGGCCCTCCCCACTCTCTGAATCTTAGTAGTCCTCTCTTGCTGTTGTTAGGTCCCAGTGAGTCAAATGTGACTCATAATGACCCTGAGAACAGCAGCTATGATCCTGCCCTATCCTCACCTCTCTGGTAGCACTTGAGCTTTTCTTACATGCTCTTTTCCAGAGTTATTTGTGCAGCTCTCCCCTCCCTGGTATTATGTTCTGCAAATTTTAGCAGCCTGGTCTATCTGGACGCTGAACTCCATTTCATCAGCTTGAAGAGTCCTTGGCTCTGCTTGAGTTGCCCTTTCATGTGCTGTGACCTATTATTTCTCTCAGGGCAGTAAACTAGGAAATGACCCAACTCAACTATTTCCTGCCCTTCAGGGTTCTCTGTCCTTTTTTTGTGCAACACTCAGTACCTTGAAAACTATGTGCTACATATTTTCTTTTTTTCCTGTGCTTTGGTTGTTTCAGATAATAAATCTTTGCTACTCCATTCTGGCCAAAGTAGGGGGAAAAAGGATGTTTGTATCTGAACTTTGAAGTTTCTCCTATGACTAAGATGCAGCCACCCCATTCCTGTTCTGTAGGTTAGGATTTGAGAAACACTGCTCTAACCCTACTGGACTTCTCACTGACCCTCACTCACTTCTTAGGCCATATGTCTTTGCTTTCCCAGTTCGCATCCTGAATCAAAATGTTACCATCTTGTCAAAGAACTAAAGCCTTCATCTCTCTGAAGAAAAAGTAATTTTGTCCCAAATGCTTCCTGATAAAAGTAGATCAAGCTATTACACTTTTAAAAAGCAAAACGATTGATTATATCCTGTATTTTGTGATAAGTGTTTACTCATATATTTGTAATAGCCTCAGAGCTGACACAATATAAGGATGATATTCAATTAATATTTAACAGATATAACTCTGTTAAGGACTGGAGGAGGGTTTTGAACAAAAAAGAAATCAATCAGTAATAAGCAGTATTTATGCAGCATAAGAACAATGATTTTGTAAAAGACTAACGTGGGAGAGTCTAGATAGCATTATGTTGAGTGAACTAAGAACAAATACTGCATAAAACTATCATTGTAAAAATGGAAGGATAAATAGTTAGATGTGTGTGAATGTCCAAAAGGAGAAGGGGTGGGAGAAGAAGAGTGGGTAAAAGGGAAGGGTGGGGATCATTGGAACGGCAGAGTTTAGTGGGTGGATGGTGGGGTGGCAGCAGTGAAAGAACAGGAAAAATTCAGTGAGGACTCAGAGATGGGGTGATAACAGGTGTAGATTAATAGTGATTGGTTATATGAAATAGTGTATATTAATGATTGCATGAAATATATGGTAAATTAAAAATGATATAAAACCAGTGTACATGAATGAAACACAATGAAAATAAATTACTGTGTGCAAATCAACAAAAAACAAAGCAAAATTATAACAAAGCAGGAATGAGAACATTTTAGAAGTAGCATAAAGTGACTGGAGCCTTGCTTTGGCCCAGGCAATGTAAGATGAGTTAGCAAACAGGTTTTATTTTGTTTGCTCAATCTATTTGAATGGTATGTTGAGAAGGATTCTGAGGCCAAATTCTAACTCCATGATTGATTGCTCAGATATATCTGCCAGGCTTGTGGGAAGAGGAAGTGGTTTACATGCATGTCATATATTTTCAATATGGGTAAGAACTTTCTTTCTCATTTAGTTTTATATATTAAAATTATTTCCAGATAAAGTGTCAGAGTAAAGTAAAAAAAAAAATTAAAAAGAGTTAGGATATAAAAAATTATGAGCTAGCTTACAAATGAGGTGAGCTTAGATAATAAAATGTTGGAATGTATCAGATGTTTCACTTCTTTTGGATAAGCATGTGGGATATTTAAAAATAATGGCTAACAAGTCAGCTATATTTAAGATAGTGTAACCTGTCAGTCATCACTCTAAGTACTACACACATATATCAACTTGTTCTTCTACAGCAGCCCACTGAGGTAAGTTCAGTTAATATATCCATTTTGTAGTGTAGGGAAACAGGCACAGAGAGGTTAAATAAGTTTAAGTCATCTAGTTAACAAATCTGGCATAAAATCTGTGCTCTTATAGTTGTTATATGGCTTTTTTTACCTTTTTTATAATTTTTTAATTTTAATTAAAATTTACAGAGATTTTGGATTTCCATTCATTCATTGTTGTACTTTTCTCCCTGCCCACCCCTCCCCCTAGTACAGTCTTCTCTTTTTTTTAGATTTTTTTATTTTTTTTTTACTGCTTTTTTAAGGCTGTTGTTGTTGTTGTTATGTGCCTTAGAGTTTCTTGTGGCTAAAAACAACACTATGTACAACAGCCCTAAACTCTAATCTATCCTGTGCCAACCGCACTGCCTCTGACACACCCATCCCGATTACCCCAGTCACCGAATCAATCCATCTCACAGAGGGTCTTCCCCTCCTGCGCTGTCCCTCCACCCTCCCAAGCATGATGTCCCTCTCCAAGGACCCGTCCCTCCTTGCAGCGTGTCCAAAGTATGTCAGATGAAGCCCCAGAATCCTTGCCTCCAAGGAGTAGCTTGGTTTAATCCTCTCCAAGATGAATCTGTTTGTTTTCCTGGCAGTCCATGGTGCATTCAGTACTCTTCTCCAGCACCACAGCTCAAAGGCATCAACTCTCCTTCTGTCCTCCCTAGTCATTGTCCAACTCTTCGATGCATAATAAGCTTTTTTAAGGAGCCTCCAATATTTCAGAAAAATTGAGATCATGACTTTACATAGCTATGTTTATAGTACTGACAAACTTATTGCTTCTTAATATAAAAATGGTCTAAATATCCCAAACCCTTGTTACCCTAGATTAGATACATATTTCTTTTTTCGTGATTGTTATAGCCTGATCTTTCATGTTCTTTTTCTTTAGGATCTCTTGCCAGCTCCATCTTTGATCCACTCAAATATCTTGTGGGTGCTTCAGGAGGAGCCTATGCTCTGATGGGAGGCTATTTCATGAATGCTCTGGTGGTAAGATCTCTGGGAAATAAAATTTGTGGACTTTAAAAAAAGCATATCTCTCTATATAAAAGCACTGGTATAGCTGATTTTTGTTATTTTCTATGAAAGGCCCCTAGATGGCACAATGGTTTATACCTAAAGCCTACGAGGATAAAATTTGTGATTAGAATCCATTCATTGGCACCATGGAAGAAAGACTGGTGTGAAAATAGTAGTGCGGTACAGTTGTCCAGTCTCCTCCCACTTCATGAAGGGGACAGAGGATCATTATAAGCACGAAGAGCCCTAAGCTGATCCCGTGAAGCAGAGGTCAGATACACCTCTTCTCTCCAACCTTTCTACTAGTTCTGAAACCAGCCATCTTCCCTCTCTACTTCATTATTGGGCTTGGTCACTCCTTGCAATAGCTACACAGAACTCAGAGGCAATGCTTTAGATTATGGACTTTATTAAGAAAGTAACAAGTTACAATTCAGAAGCAGGGTACAGTTCTTCAGTTAGGACAGCTTTTTGTGAGTCCCTTGATCCTTAAGTCTTCTTGAGCATCTTGGGCCAGCTGAGCATCTGCCCTACTCAGGAAAGAATTTTCCTTTTACTTTTCAAAGAGAAGAGTGAACTGAGGGGGAGGGGTGGGCAGTGAGAAAAGTGCAACAATGAATGAATGGAAATCCAAAGTCTCTGTAAAATTTCATTAAAATTAATAATAATAATAATAAAAATTGCTTCACTGATATGTGCCCAGAAGTACTTACTCTACTCCACTGGTGAGCCTCAACTCAAAGGTGCACAGCTCTCTGATTCTGTGGCTCACTCAGCTAATACAGCTACATCTCATGCCTGAAGAAGAGAACATTCTCACTCCGTGGGCTAGAAGCCCTCCACACTATTGCTGGTCTCTTGGTTCTCATATTTCTGTTCACTTGTTGTTTCTTCTTGTCATTTCCCCACTGTGTCCAGTGTTACAGCTTTCTCTTTTTCTATCTCCCAAGTTTCTGGTAGTGTAGCCCTTAAAGAGTTGTGCTACTAACTCACAGGCCACTCCAGCAGTTCAAATCTACAAGCAGCTCCATGGGAGCAAGATGGGCAATCTCCTCCCATGCAACTTATGGCCTTGGAAACCTATAGAAGGTCAGCTATGAATCAGTTCAGACTCAGATGACACTGAGTTGGAGTTTTGACCTACGAGGCCATTTAAAACATGAAATCACTACGAAAAAGTGCACACAAGTGCACACACACAGAAACACACACTGCAAATAATGGGGCACTAGATAGACTAGATGGAACACTGGTGACCTATTAGACGGGAGCTAAGCTGCCAACCTAAGACATGCAATTTGAATCCTCTAGTTGTTCTAGTGAGAAATATGGGAAATGTTCTCTCATATTATTTACAGTCTCTTAAAAACCATTAGAAGGTCTGCTACAAGTTGGTTCCAAGCTAATAGCACGTAACAAATAGACTTTGAGAGATTAAACACGAAAGCAGTGTCTCCTAGCTTGACCTTAGCTGGAAATGTACATGTTGGACAACTCAAATTTTTCATCCTTTATATTCATCACAGATGACTCAACCAATAACATACTATGACAGGTTTGGAAGCAGGAGTGGTATCCACTTTCTAAACAACATGCCTCTGGAAACTCTATGACGTTTGATAAATGATGATAGTTGCAGAGGGGCTTCAGGCCTTTTGTTCATAGGGTTGCTATGAGTCGTGCTCAACTTAAAGGCAATCAACAACAACAACAACATACTCATGAGTGACTATGACAGTACCTCAAGTATTGATTTTGAGGCTACAGATAAATTTGAGATTAGGCAAACACAAATTTGCAAATAATGAGGATGGACTGTATTTGATTTAGGAAGTTCATTTATTAGTATTCGCTCATTGACTAAAGAGAGCACCATTCTTCTTTCTGAGTATTATATGGCCACCAAACATTCAGTTTTCCTTTCATAATTATCTTTATTTTTTATGATTTCAGAAGTAATGAATATGAATTAAAATCCTGAATGAAATGAGTAGAAAATCAAAGTCTCGGGCATGTATTTGTTAGTAGTTTGACTCCTATTCCGTATATATCCAAAAGCCTACCAATAGTACAAAAGTGAGTTCAGCCTTAAACTGTTCTACATCTTACCAGACTATCTTGACCATTTAATCATACTATTAGAGATACAACTTCATCTTCTGAGTTGCAGTGATTAAAAAAAAAATTACTTTTTTGGGTATTTTTTAATTGTGATTTTAAAGAATATTTATAGAGGAGTTGGATTTTTATGCATTCATTGTTGCATTTTCTTCCCTCCCCTCCCCTAGTTCACTTTATTTTTAAAAAATATTCATTCATTGTTGCCCAATCCTCCCCTCCCTCAGTTCCCTTTACAATGTACCTCTTGTTCTGGACCATTGTCTTACACATAATGCCTAATCCAATATTTCTTTTAAACAGTTTTCTCCCTCTTCTGTTCCAATATGTGTTCATTATCTATCTAGTCTTCTATTCTCTTCCCAAACCCCCATGCCCTGCGATTTATTTAACGTGTACAGATGCAAGGCTTCTGGAATGATTCCAGCACTTTACATTTACCAACAATAGGAATGTTCTTTTCCATTTGTGAATTTTTTTCCAGTGTAGGATAAATTCCTAGAAATAGATTTATTAGATAAATATTTTAGATTTTGAGATATTTGCCAAACTGTCCTCCAAAATTTTTTACTTCTACTAATATGAGAATGTCAACCAATTTTTAAAAAGGTGAAAATTCTGACTAGTTTTATCCTTTAGCCAGCAGCCAAGTATACTTTAAAATATTGTTGGGGAAAAAAGATGCAGCAACTAAACATAGAAAAGCACCTTTCAAACTTTGGGATGGAGCCATTTGTTGTTGTTAGCTGCTTTCTAGTTGGCCTCTGACCCATAAAGACTCAGCTTAGGAGGCTGTGATAAAAAATGTAAAAGAAAACATAATCAGTGTGTATTACATATGATAACAGTAAGTAGTGATTTACAGGAGTACTGGGTTGCTATGTACATTATTTCCAATGGGTGATCATCATAAAATTTGGAAACAGTTGATTTAGAATGAACATGACCATTTTGACACTCAACTCAACTCACTGCTATAGAATCAGAACCAATTCATAGCTGACTCTCCAGCGGGTTCTCAGAGGCTGTAAATCACATGGGCAGAGATTGTCCATCTTTCTCCCTTATAGCAACTGATGGATTTGAACCACCAGTTTTTGGGTTGGCAGTCCAACTCTTTACCTACTAGGCTACCAGCGTTCCCTTTTTTTCTTAGAAAAGGTCTGATGAATGAGGATATATAAAAAGTTAACTAGGGGAGGGGAGAAAGGAGGGGGTAAAAAGCGAAACAATGAATGAATGAATGAAAATCTAACTTTTCTGTAAACTTTAATTAACATCACAATTAAAATAAAAAATTATTTAAAAAATGTTTAATGACTTGAAGGGGAAGAAATGAATCAATAAACTGAAACAGAAATGCCTTTCTGACTTCAACAATTCTCTGAGATTATAAACTAGACTGAGATTCTTCAAAGCTAAAAATAATGTTTCTGATCAACATTTTAAGTTTTTTTAGAAATTAATATTCAGAAAGACTAATGGAAAGAAGGAATGCAGGGAGGATACAGGCTGAGTACAGTTACATTCTGTGTACTGTTATTAATATCATAAAGTTAAATGTGCATGAAGGGTTGAATGAAAACCCAACTAGCTTTGCAAGCTTTCATTCAAATCATAATAAAACAACAAAAAATTTAAGACAATATTAAGATTTCAGTTAATAAGCTCAGTTACGGAGGCCCCCTCCATTTAACACGTTGCCACAAATGATGACAAATGTGTTTCTAAGCACGGTCATCAATTTAAAAGTGTGTGGCAACATGTTAATGGGCACATGAAGCACCAAATTTCTATTACATACATATTTGAATTATATCAAGCTATTAAAATCATATCTAGTTTATATAGTGAATTAAATATCATTTCATTTAGTTTCTATAGTGCACTGAGCCAGCACTGCACCTTCCAGATGCATCTGAAAATTGGGCTGTTAGACCAGTGTTTGGATTGTAAATGTTTATAGTTTCAAACTCTACTTGGAAAAGCATATGGACAGGAAGTAGAGTGGATGTTTCATTTTCTAATACCCAGCTTATATTATTATTTATCTCTTTGCAAGAATTTTCGAGAAATGATTCCTGCCCTCGGAATTGCCAGACTACTGATCATCATCCTAATAAGTAAGTGTGCTTTGTGGAAAGTTCTCATTTCCAGTCTTATTAGTTCAACCTTCAGAGAGCCTTTGACATTTCCAAAACACTAGCCTGTAGGATGACTATTAGCCTATGGATGGAATTAGAAAGAATTATTGACTCCATGACTCAAGGAAGCAGGTGTAAATGGAAGAACTTTTACATACCATCATGAGTGATTCTTGGATGCACTTCAATGACATATGAAACCCATGAGAGTAGAGCTATAAGCAACCCTGCCATTCCAGCTATGACAGCCCTACTTGTATTTCTATACAGTAATTTATAGGGGTTACAGAGTTTGACAAAGTTTGAAAACCACTGATTCAGTCCACCTCCTTCTTTGAGTTCTTAAAATTTCATATTTTACATATAGATAGATAGATAGATAGCGAGCGCGCATGAGAGTGTGAGAGCGAGTGAGAGCGAGCGAGCGCGTGTGTGTGCGTGAGCAAGCATGTCAGCTAATTTCTGTTGAACTAGAACTAGAAGGCAAGTATTGACAGTTCATTGCTATTGTTTTTGGGTTTTTTTATTAAAGTTAAAAATTCCTTAATTTTTTATTCCTGGTACCACTACCACAATTTACAGGGTAATATATCTGATGTAAGAAAAAGAAAAAAGACAAAGCTACAACAGATAAAAGACCTCAAGAATGTACATCTAAAAAAAAAATGTACATCTAATTGACACTACATTGCATTAATCAATAGCTGCACTTTTTGCAAACTGTGGCTATGACAGTTCTGAACAAGAAGGGTTTCCTGTTTAAGCTGCAGTAACTTTTCTGACTAGATCATTGTTCCTCTGTGGCAGATTTTTACAGTTCCTCTAATGCATTTGGGACGACTGTCTCAAAGTAACCTGCAGCTTTCCTGATAACTTCTTGCTCTCTCTCCAGCTAAGAACTGTGCCCCTTTGCTGTTGAATTTTTAGAACTTTCTGCTACCATAGCCACCACTTCTACCACCAGATCCATACCACCACCATAAAGACTGCCTGAGCTTCTTCCACCAAAACTGCTCCCTTTCATGGATCCATAACTGCTTTTGTCCACTATCATTTCCAAAATCATTATAGTTTCCACCACCATCATAGTTACCCCCCCCCCCAAGTTTCCTCCTTCATTGTAACCTCCTATCCTCCATCACTGCCAACATATCCATCACCTTGGTTTCCATATCCTGGTCCACCACCACCATAGCCCCTTCTACTACTATAACCAGGGCCACCTCTGTAATTGCCACCATCCCCTCCAAACCCATTGTAACCACCGTCACCTCCTCCATGACTACCTCGGCTGCCACCACCTCCTCCACCATAGCCTCCTCTTCCACCAAAGTTTCCACCACAGCCAAAGTTCCCTCTACCACCTCCAAACTTTCCTCCACGACCTATAAAGTTCCCAGATCCATCTCCATGACCTTTCTGTGATCCAGCAGACTGTATCTCTTGCTTAGAAAGGGCCCTTTTCACTTCACAATTGTGCCCATTAATAGTGTGGTATTTCTGAACAACAATTTTATCAACTGTGTCATGAACATCAAAAGTTACAAAAGCAAATCCTCTCTTTTTTCCACTCTGCCTGTCTTCCATAACTTCTATGGTTTCTTTTTAGCTGTATTTTTCAAAGTAGTCTCTCAAATTATACTCTTCTGTATCTTCTTTAATGCCACCAACAAAAATTTTCTTCACTGTTATATGGGCACCAGAATACTCCTTAGAAACAGCTCTCTTTGGTTCCACTACACGTCCACTAACCTTGTGTGGCTGCGTACACAACGCTGCATCCACCTCTTCAACACGAAAGTAAGTCACAGAACCAAAGCCCCTGAAACATTTTGTTTGGGGGCCTCACATCACCATATAATACGTAAGTGTGCCCCATTTCTCAAAATGTTCTCTTAAACTATCATCTGTAATTTCAAAGCTCAGACCACCAATAAAGTTTTTGTAACTGCTCTGGTTCTTTTGGATCATGACTTTTCTCCCCCGGTGGCGGTAGTGCCGGTCAAAGTCGGGCTGAAGGTGACTGGGAGGTGGTTTTATCTCCATTTTGAGACCAGACTCCATTGCTATTGTTTATGTGCCGTCGAGTTGCCTGTGACTCATAGTAACCCAATGAACAACAGCTCTTAGGCCTGCCTTGTCCTAAGCCAGTCTCACTGACTCCAACACACCTACTCTCATTGCCCCAGTTACTGTTTCAATCCATCTCATCTGAGGTCTTCCTCTCCTGCACTGTCCGGCTAATCTTCTGAGCATGTAAGAATTGGTCCCTACTGGCCACATGCCCAAAGTATGTGAGATGGAGCTTCAAAAGCCTTGCCTCCAAAGAGAAACATGATTCTCCTTTCCCAAGTTTTCACCTTCTCCAAGATAGACCTATTTGTTCTCTTGGTGGTCCATGGTATGTTCAAGACTCTTCTTCAGCACCACAATTCAAAGGCATCGATTCTTCTTCTTGTCATCCTTAATCACTGTCCAGCTCTCTAATGCATAGTAAGTAACTGCAAAGATCGTGGCGTGGATCAGACACACTTTAGTCTCTAGGCTGACATAACTGATTTTCAGTACTCTAGAGAAGTCCTTAACAGCAGATTTCCCCAGCAAAATCTGTCTTCTGATTTCCTGACTGCTGGTGCCAAGAGTGTTGACTGTGGAGCCGAGCAAACTGTAATTGTTAACAACCTCAATCTCTTCTCCATCTATCATGGTGCTGCCAATTGGCCCGGTGGTAAGAAGCTTTGTTTTCTTTCTTTTTTAAAAAAAATTCTATTATTTTGTATGTGTGTACCATCAAATCGGATCTGACTGGTACAGGAGGAGATTGCCCCTCCTTCTCCAGCAGAGTGTCTGGTGGATTCGAACCATGCACCTCTGGGATTGCAGTGCAGCTTCTTGCCTCAAGGCCACCAGAGCTCCCTAGAATCTTTGTTTTCTTGATGTTGCGCTTCAATACATACTGAAGACTACAGTCTTTGACCTTCTGCAGCAAGTGCTTCAGGTCCTCCTTAGTTTAAGCAGTTTAAATATTTTTTTTTAAAAAGACACATTTCTATTTTAATTAGTATTTAGTAAGAAAGATTTGTCTAAGAAAAGTTAAGTATACATATTAATGTTTCACATCTTTTATTAATATTTTTCAGCCCCTCTTCATTTTCCTCATAGACACACTACAACTTAAACTATTTAATTCATTTTAATGTCAGTGATGGTTGGGTGAAAAAAGAGGCTGGAGAATGTGATTAGAGGCTAAACTGTAATTTAATGAATAGTGATGATTTTCCATGAATGGGAATAAGAGAGATGGAAGACTTACCTGCTGATGGCCCACTACTAATCCAGAATGTCATAAAATTGGGTTACTCTCCTGGGAATCATGAAATGCCAGTACTGTCATCGTTTGCTGTCACCTGAAAACGGCTCCATCTTCAGGCTCATATAGCGATGGGCTGCAAGTAGACTTCTCGAGGCCTGAGATAGTTTTAAGATGTAGAGAAAGAGGAAATCAAGGATTAATAGTTACGATACTTGCTCAAGAAGACCCTCCTGTGAGTCTTTCTCTATCTCAAGAAAAAGCCAAGTTCTTTAAAGTTCAGTTTAAAAGAGCCTTAACTGGAGAAAGCAGAAATGAGTGTCACAGCAATCCATTTGATACGAAAGGCTGACCCCAGCTCCATGACCTTAGCTTTGGGGCTTCCTTCTCAGAGGATTCCTTCATCCAGCTAGTGAAGAGACATTGTTTTGTTGTTGCTATATGCCCTCAACTCCAACTCATAGTGACACCATGTACAACAGCTCTGAACCCTGCTCTATCTTGAGCCAACCTTATCAGCTCTGACACACTTACTCCCATTACCCCAGTCACTGAGTCAATCCATCTCATCCAGGGTCTCCGTCTCCTGCACTGTCCCTCTCTAAAGACTGGTCTCTCCTTGCAACATGCCCATAGTATGTCAGACAGAGCTTCAAAGTCCTTGCTTCCAAGAACCATTAGACTTACACACACACACACACACACACACACACACACACACAGAGTTATTGACATGACACTACCCAATCTCTTTCTCTGTATGTGTGTGTCGGTAGTGGTGGAGAACAGAGTGGATGCAAAGACTAGTAGCCAGGAAGATATTTAAGATAATTAAGGATGACTGAACATTTTTATCTGAGTAACTGGAAACACAGATTTGTTTAGGAGAAAAATCAGATTGCTTGAGTTAATTGAGTCTCTTGGTTAGAGATCAGTATGAAGATACAGAGTAGGACATGGTCTCATATTTTGAACAGTGAATCAGAAGAAAGGTCTGGGTAAGAGCTTTACAATCTGGAGTAGTCAGCCTGTAGATGGTAGCTAACTAGTATCATGAGACAATGAGAATTAGAGCTCCAGACAGTGAGAACAGAGAAGATGAAAAGTCTGAGGGCTGACTCCTGCAGCATTCCATACTTAGAGGATGGGAAAATTCTTAGGAAAAGACATAGAGAAGCAGCAGTCAGCTATGCAATAGAAAACCGAACAGAAGGTGTCTCGGGCACTTAAGTCAGAAAGATTTTTAGGGAGGAGATGACTGATCTTATTAAGTGCTGAGGACAGCATTGGTGATCATGAGGAGAGTTTTGGTGAAAGGACTTCAGAAGATTAGGAGTAAAAGAGCTAGAGAAGCAGCAGATACAAGTCTTTAAAAGGCTTTTGAAGGTGTTTTGTCATAAAGGAGAACAGAGAAGCCAGTGGAGAATATGGGAGTAAAAAAGGGAACTGGTTTTTCTTTATTCCCGCCTCTACAATTAGAAAACTTGAGTTTACATATATGCTGATGAAAGTGATCTAATAGATAGTGGTGATGCTGATGACAACTGGTTGAGCTCTATCCTTGAGTGGGAGAGGTGAACAACTGCTTATTCAGACCATTAGTTACATCAGGAGAGAAAGCAGATTATATGATGCGAACACATCACATAAAAATTATATGGACTTCTTC